GATCCGTCAGTCGGTTTCGGCGGACGGCCCAATTATTTCTTTTGTCTCGCCGTTCGGCAGTCCGCTATTGTTTAGACGGAGCCTCCGGCGTCGCGAATTAGAAGCTGCGAGAGAATCGCGCTTTCAGCGGCGAACGCGCAACGACGCAGAAGCGAACGAGCGCGCGGCGTTGCATTCTAAACCGCCTCTAGTCGCTCTCTCATAACTATTGCAGCGATTCTATAACCAGCGCGAAACTGCCGGGAATCACTGCTCAATCGCCGTTGACGTCATTATTCTATATACAGGGTGCCCCTGACTCACATAGCTCCTGCGAAACCGATCGAGAGAACCGGATTGTTCAGACGGGACGCGCTCTTTCCTCGTTGCTTTATTCAGGACGCGTCGAAATTCGCGTCACAGCGAGATTCTCCGATTGACATTAGGAGATGCCGTTCTTTGAACGACTTCGCTCGGTCGTCGTTTTCTTCTCTCCCTCCCTTCCCCTTTCTCTCTCTCTTTGTCGCAATATTATTTTTCTTGTTTTAAGTCGAGCATTTTGATGTTTGGCGTTCAAAGGAGCGAGTGAACTGCGATCGAAAGTCGCGTGCAGCGATGGAAACTTGTGAATGAGTTCTCGATGAGGAGAGATTAACTCCAACTTCGCAAAACTTTTTTTACGGTCGAAAAAGAGATAGAAGGAAAGAGGGAAGGGGAGGGAGGATTGCGTGGTGATTTTTCGGACATCCTGTACAGAGCGATAAAACGCCGATCGTTTGCGAATGTTCGGCTCTTGTACCTCGAAACGTTCGGCAGGTTGGTCCTGCCGGAAATAACTTTATTTACGCGAGGCACGAATTACCTAACAGAAGGGAGAGGATATATAGAGTGTACTGCAAAAACTCGCCCGATAACTGGCGGTTTCGCATCCCGAAGCTTTTAACGTTGAGTAATTTTATAGTGTGTTTTCATGAGTTTTATTCCTTACCGAATTTCATTTTAATAGGCTCGGAGAATTTATCAGTTTAATTTTGTCTCGACGTTTTTTCATGCTTAGGATTTCTGCTATAACCGAACAAACAAAGAAAATTCGATTTGTCAAAATGAACGGTTTTTATCGATAATTAAGACAATTTTAATTCGTGATTTTAATGTCGAAAATCAACGAGATGTATTTTACTTTTTTTTCCTTTCCTTTTTT